CCAGGCCATCAAGTTCCAGGAATGGGGGAAGGGCTTTCTTCTGTAAACGAGGATTTTACTAAGTGTGGGAGATTAAAAGATTTACATAAAATTTTACTAGGTGAGGGAGATTTAATTGAGTATTAGCTCCTGATAAGCAAACTACCTTTGATAGATACGGAAGAAATATATTTCTCCTGATCCCTGAAGGAGAAAGTCCAGCTGTGAGTCTTCTTCATTCTCTTCCATTGTGAGTGCCCAGAAGCCTCAGGACTGTTGCCTTGGTTGGATGCCTCTCTCCTCTTGCCTGCTTCCCTGTTTCTGCAGATGTTCCTCACAACCTTCTCTACATTTTCCTTCTCCTCCAGAGGCTGGGTGCCTCTTCTCCCATTTACCCTAAACTGGAGTGGCCTCTTGCCTTTCTGTCATCCCACAATGGGCTGTAGGTTTCTTAGATCAAATGTGCCTCTCTCTAGACATTTATTGCCTATTAGCTTGGAAATGAAGGATCAAAAAAAGAAAGAAAAAAAACCAGATGGCAAAATGTGAACTAGTGTATGAAACCCTAATAATTTTCTCTGATGAGTCATACTGATTGTTGTTCTCCTCCTCCTCCTCCTCCTCCTCCTCCTCCTCCTCCTCCATATTTTTAGAATGTCCTTTTTACCTACCGATCTAGTTGGCAACATGAATCTGGGAGAAGTAACCCTAAAAATGAGGCAGAATAAAGTCTCATATAATGGATAACTTTATTTGGAACATCAGTTTATACCCTGAGGGCTAAGAAAGGACACAGAAGTAACATTCTCAGGAGATCAAGCTGTATATAATCACAAGGAAACGCTTCACGGGGCAAAATCATGGTTTTCCACAGAGGCACAGGACTAGCAACAGCTCAAGTAAGCTCACTTCTATACAACACCTGGGAAGAGCACGAGAACACATTCCACAAACAATTCTATGTTCTGAAGAAACTGAGGTCACAAGACTATTGTTTTCTTGGAGTTTTCTCACAAGCACTCAGGATGCTCACATGACTCCATTCCTGGACTGTGCTGACACTGTTCTACATGTAGAACGTCACATGAGCTGATTTCATGTCTGTAGGAATATTGGCGTTGTTCTCACCGCTCTCTTCCTGTTTTATAATTAGACTACACATTTTTATGTGATATCTAACATTACCAAACTCTGCTACTTACCACGTTCTGTGCCTTATGATTCCTTTCCACCTCCACAATTAATGGTGTCACTTTTTAAAGGCTACCAAACGGTTACACTGTTTTCTGGTTGTTTGAGTGAGGTTTTGTTTGGTTTAGGTCTCACTATGTAGTTCTGGCTGGCTTCAAACTGGGAGAGATCCTGCCTCCTCTTCCCTAGCGCTGGGATTCCATGGTATCTAGACTATTTTTAATCTTACTTTTTGTGTCCTGGACATGCAAGGCAAGTACTCACCAACTGAACATATATCTCCAGCCCTGGTTGTACAATTTTTTTTAGTAAAGAAAGAAGAACAATGAATTGCTATTTTTTTTTAAAGAAAAATGTACCTTTATCTCTAAATTTATTATCATTTCAAGAGGAATAAGAATCAGACTGTTGAATCTGTGGTCTCAAAAACACTGTTTTAGAAAGAAGGAAAGAGGGTTGGGGATTTAGCTCAGTGGTTGGACGCTTGCCTAGGAAGCACAAGGCCCTGGGTTCTGTCCTCAGCTCTGAAAAAAAAGACAGAAGGAAAGAAAAAAAGAAAAGAGAAAGAAAGAAAGAAAGAAAGAAAGAAAGAAAGAAAGAAAGAAAGAAAGAAAGGCGAAGCATATGCCTTTAATCCCAGTACTCAAGAAGTAGAGACAGGAAGATCTCTGTGAATTTGATGCCATTGAGGTCTGTATCCTGAGTTACAGACCAGCCAGGCTTGCATAATGAAAGCCAAAAAGAACCCCGAATGTTAGCAATTGATCAGATATTTCTGCTGAATTCACTTTACTCTTTATATACTAGATTGCATCCATTTTTGAGTCACCTGGAGTAAAAACGATATTGATATTAGTTTGATTTTTTAAGATTTATTTTCCTTATGAATCTGTGGGGAGGGTGTGTGTGCACATGACAGAGACTTCAATTTTAATGGTAACATCACATAACTATCTAAAACTGGAATATTTGTTTTCTTTTTTTTTCTTTTTTGGTTTTTCGAGACAGGGTTTCTCTGTATAGTCCTGGGTGTCCTGGAACTCACTCTGTAGACCAGGCTGGCCTTGAACTCAGAAATCAGCCTGTCTCTGCCTCCCAAGTGCTGGGATTAAAGGCGTGCGCCCCACTGCCCAGCTCAGACATCATTTCTTTGAGTAATAAATACAATGTTTCTTCTGCATGTTGACCTCACAGTAGCAAGCATATTGTTCAGAACCTGACTAAATTTGCATATGTTATATCTGTAGTTACTGAAAGAGTAGAAAAATAAAAACAGTCTGTTATTAATAAATCCTTTTTATTGGCCAGGCTGTGGTGGCACACACTTTTAATCCCAATGCTCACAAAGCAGAGGCCAGTGGATCTCTGTGTTTGAGACCTCAGAGATCTGAGACCGGAGACTGGTCTACAGAGTGAGTTCTAGGACAGCCAGGGCTACATAGTGAAACCCTATTTCAAAAAGCCAAATAAATAAATAGCTAAATAAATAAATAGAATCCCTTTTTATCATTGAAACAAGTTTCAGTGCAATATATATATATATATACATATACATACACACACACACACACACACACACACATATATAACACACACACACACACACACACACACACACACACACA